CCGTCTGGGCGGGGCTGACCTTTCCTTTTCTCAGGTGCCGCAGGACTCAGCCAGGTGCCCCAAATATCGTCACTGCCTTTTACTGAAGCTCTCATTCTCCTGAGCACTGACTCAGTGTCCTTACAGTGGGTTCATTAGTCTCTTTGGTTTGCAAGTGACAGAAATCCAACTCAAACAGGCTTATACTCAAGAGAAAAAAAGAGAGAGAGAGAAAGAAAGAAACAAAGAAAAGGGAAGGAAGGTAGAAAGGTAGAAAGGAAGAAAGGAATAGAGAAAAGAGAAAAAAGGAAAAAAAAAAACAAGGAAAAGGAAGAAAGGAAAAGAAAAGGTTATGGCTTCCACAACTTATAAAACGTAGGGTAGAGCTCCACGATCAAGGCCCTGCTGGGCTCAGAGGATGCACCAATACTTGTGTTTGCCCATTGCTCAGCTCCAACCCCTGGGCCAGCGGGACTCGTGGTTTTCATGACTGAGCAGGAGGGGATCCAAGTGGGATTAGCTGTGACTGAACCACAGAGGCAGAGAAAGAGGACAGGCGATCTATCGGAGAAAGTCGCACTGTTGTTCCCCCGTACAGGGCCCGGGTGATAGGGCACATTTCCACTTCAGGGGACAAGCGGTCACTGAGGGGGATTTCGGCGCCCTCCCCGTGTGTAAGTGTCACATACAAACACTCATGTCTCCCTCAGCTGTAAGGGCTGGGCTCCTAAATTGTGTCCCCTGTCCCCACTCCCCTCCAGTTCCGTATAGGAGCTGGGTTTTGGCGGGAGGTTGTCTGTTTGTTTTTTTAGAAAGTTGGCTGTTTTCTTCTGAGGGCAAACACCACTTCACTATTTCTAGTCCAGCAAAGCCATCAAGAAGCACCGTTTCTGCTCTTCGATGGGGACAAATGTTGCTGAAACCAATTATCTTGGGGACAAAAGAGCATCATAGGTTTGTCTGAACGGAACTAAAATATCATGTGGTTTGTGCCCCCTCTCCAGAGAGGTCAGGGTGTTTCCCACCTGCTGCGGGACACAGCTGGCCTTGACTGATGCCAGGAGAATGGGGGTTTGGCCCTGGTTCTGCCCCTTGCAACCTGAGTGAGCCTGAATCATTCGTTTTTTACCTGGGTCTCGGTTTTCTCATCTTTAGTGCTAGGTTTTGGGCACGATGCTTTCTCTCTATCTAGTCCATTTCCTCTGTAGCTGCTGATCGTTAGCTGACAGTTCAAGTCCGTAATAATGGGGGTGAGACCTTCCCCGTGTTTGGTGGTGGCAGGACTCAGGCACCGTAAGGACTGAATGACAGAAAGAGTCTTTGTGTCTGATCCAGGAAGAGGAGTGTGAGTGACAAGAATGTCTGACTCCTCTTTCAGGATGAGAGATGTCACTTAGGATGTGGATGTCTTCAGTGCGGACCAGACTTCATTCCTTGGGACGCAGTCATTCAGCCGTCAGGTGTGCACGGACCTCGCACCACAAGCAGATGCCCCTTGCGCGCCTGACATGTGGAGAACCCGAGGCAGGGAAGGAGACATCCATGCACGAGAAACCTCTGAATATAACACTTTTAATGTTTAATTGCTCCGCGAGAGTTTCTTTTTGGATCTGCTGTGCCGCCGGCCAAGATGCTCCAGGCACCTGGGAAGGTCTTTCACTTCAGGTTTCCGGCTGGACAGACGGACGATGGGGAGGTTATACTGGATGGCCACGCTGGGTGGAGGTCAAGGGCAGGATCCCTGCTTGGCCCAGGGCCACTCGGCAGATGCAGCGTGAGTACATGAACAAACATGCAGCCAAGTGCTAGGAGGCGTTCCAGCTCCGAGTGTCCCGACCGTGAGCTCTGGGACCCCCGACAGGATGGCAGCCAGCGCACCGCGGGCATCGAGAATGTGCAAAAACAGGCAACACAAACAATGTGCCCGTAAACTAGAGAAAGGGGATGCGGGGAGGAGAGATTTTTGGAAGGAGATGTGATGACGCTTTGCTTCGGGCCCTGAGGTCTGGAGTGAAAGGAAGTGCTTTCTGCCCCCGTCTGCCCACTTCCCCAGCAGCCCTCTCGCTCCAGAGCTGCAGCTGGCAGAGAACCAGCCCCGGGAGCATGGGGAAGACGCAGCTGCCTCCGCAACCACAGTCGTCTCTGGGCCATCTGGGTCTTCCTTCTCTGCGCCTGTCCTCGCCAGCCTCCCCCGCACCCCCGCCCTGCGTGGTGAGGGGGATAACAGAGCACAGGGAGAGGAGCAGATCTGTGCAAGGAGGTCACACACGCGTGTGTGCACACGTCGGGATGCTGGTGCGAGAAGCACTCGGCGTGCAGCAACGAGGAGGGCGCGGAGCCACGCGGCAGGTGAATCCAGGGCTGCGAGGTGAAGGACCTTTGCTCCCTTGGCTGAAATCCACCCTCCCAAGCCCCCTTCTCTGCTTAGAGGATCAGAGCCCAGGTAGCGCCAGGCCAGGGCTGACATCTCCCTTTCTTTGCTGTCAAGTGGCCTTGATAGGTGAACAGTGAGATGTGCAAGGATAAGGGCAGCGTAGGATGAAGGTTACTCGAGGGTTAGATTACAGCGAAGCCGCTTATCTGGCCGCGCTCAGTTGCCGCGCAGACATGCTTCGGGTCCCGGCGTGTGTGCAAACTGGTTCTCCCAGTCGCCGTGTGGAGATGCTTCGGGTCCCGGTGTGTGTGCAAACTGGTTCTGTTGGGTGAAGGACACACTAGATGTGGACAGCAAGATGCAAAGGTGGGGCTCTGTAGTGGTGATGGGGGCGGGTTTCTGAGGCTGGTGATAAAAGCGCAGATGGGTTGGCCCCCGAGCAGTGAGACATGGGACAGGAGACGGCTGGGAGGCACCCGGGTAGGCTGGCGGGGCACCTGTCAGTGGGCTGCCTTGATGGGGCTGTGGGCTCAAGCTCGTAGGCCAGGGGCATGGCACAGGGAGGAGAGCCTGGGGCAGGGCAGCAGTCCTCGGGAGACAGCAGGGTGCAAAGCGGGGCCCGAGTGTTCGAGGAAAGGACATGTGGGCAGGGACTCTGGGATCAGGGAACAAGGCTCCATTCCTGGATGACTGTGTCGTGGGCCCTGGAACTGGTTTAAATCCAGGCTCTGCCCCTTAGTAGTTGTGTGTGTGATTTTGGAAAAGCTTTTCTGAGCTTTAGTCTCCTGACCTACCAAGGAGACTGTTTACCCTTTTGGCTTATCTCGAGGACTCGACATGAGAATCCACACAGAGGATCCGATTCGGTGTCTGAGCGCAGTGGGAACCCCATAAATGTGAGCACTTGCGGCACTTTGCAAACATCCCTGGAGGCAGCAGGAGGCCGTGTGCTGGTAAGAACCAGGCCATGGAGTCAGAGCCGGACCTGCAGCAAAAGCCACATGTGTGCAGGTCTCCTGTTCTTGCCCCCCTAGGAAACTGGACAGGTCCCAGAGCTCAGGGAGGTAACGTGCAATATGTTATGGAAAGAGGGATGGATGGGGTCCGGAGCTAGTGGGTGCCCAGAGCTGGAGGTGGGCTGGCCTCTCTGAGTTCCGTGGCTTGAGGACCGAGGCTCAGGTGTGTTGGCTCGGGGCTGGCCAGGCTGCTGCACAGCAGGAAGGGCCAGATGGCACGGGGCAGTCAGGGTGTTTCCTGTGTTCCTGTGTGGCTTGGATTTTGTTCACCGCGGCTGATTTTCTAGGATTTAGGTTCCTGCCCGGGTGGAATGGGCATTAAGTCCTTTGCTGGCTGGTTTCCAGGAGCAGCGGCTTTCAGCACGTCAGCTTTAATATTCTCTGCGCCTCTGGCCTCGGGGCTAGCAGGGTCTCGGGCGTCGGCCATGCCCGTGCGCAAGCACTTCCCTGGGGTCAAGGAGCCCCGCTCTCCCACGCTCTTCCTCTTGCCAGTCCTTCCGATCTCCCTTTCTCCAGTGTTCAGCCTCCCTTTCCTCACTGACCCTTTATTTGCCACCTTGTGCCTCTTTTACGTCCATTCCTCTGTCCCCCACTTTTCCTGTTTGTCTTTTGAGCTGTTAACCAACCTCTTGCTCACCTTGGAACCACGCTCTTCGGAGCTACTAGGGAGGTCAGGATGGTCTAGGGCAGCCCCTAGGCGTCATCCGTCCAATGGTTAGATATTTCCTGGAACCGGGAACTGACGGTAGCCCGGGGTGGCTCCTTCTGCGTTTGTAGCCTGTCGTTGGCACAGCAGGAATCACTGAGGGAAGAAGGTGCCCCCCCGCCCCGCAGGACTCAGAGTCTAGTGGAGCAGAACCTTCCACAGTTTGGTTCTAGTTTTAACCCGTAGGGTCTCTCCAGGCGAGCAATACTCGGAAATATTTACTGAGATTTTCCCAGGTGTCAGCCTCCAGGCTAGCAACTGCGACTGCAAAACGGACACAAAAGTGTCCCTGTGGTGATGTTTGGCTCTAGGAAAGAAGAGAGACTTCCAGTGACTTAGTGGGTGAGTGCTACAGCCAGGGCACAGGAACCTTAAGGAAGGAGGCTTTCGCTGTACCTGCGGAAGGTTTCCACAAATGGGTGTTGTCTGAGCTGAAGGAAGAGTTCGTCAGGAAGACCCAAGGACACTGTGGGCAGAGGCTATTCCCAAGTGTAACTGGGGGATATTGGCTAAGCTAATCGGGTAGAATAAGATAAAGAGGATTAACCATGAGTGATGGGCACAAACCAAGCAATGGGTGGGAATGCTGGCGAGATCCCCAGGAAAAGGGACTGAAAATCACATGTAACATGACCAGGGGACACCACACACACTCACATCGTGAGGCGCCATGAGGTCTAGGAGCAGGACCTCTGAGGAGCAGAGGTGTGGGCTGGGCTGGGGATTCCCGGTGGAAGGACAGCCTTGCTGGGCTCTCGTGTCCTCTTCTGGAAGCAGAGGAGGTGGCAAGGCCCGGGCTGCCTGTCTTCAGGTGAGGGTGAGGAGAGGGGGAGGGCTGGGTCTGGGAAGCCTCAGTGCCTGGAACACAGTGCCTTTAGAGAGGTGCGCAGAGTTCATGGTCAAGGGTGCGGGAGGTAGCTGTTATAAAAACAGGAGGGGCATGGAAGGGTGAGGGGGGCAGGGTGGGGATTGGAAAGTCGAATGAAGACCTTCAACTTAGAGCTCAGGTTCCCTAGAATGACAAGAAGGATTTTGATGTCATTTGTTGGGGGAAGGGAACTTACTTGTCCAAGGTTCTCAAGGTGCCTGAGCCTCGGCAGGACAAGAGGATGGCTGTGGGAAGAAGAGAAAGCTGGAGAGTGACAGTGTGGTCTGGAGCAAAGACCTGAATTCACATCTGAACTCGGCTACCTCGTGAGTTCTTCAACTTTTCTGAATCATTTCAAAATGCAGATAATACTGACCTTAGAAGACTTTTTGAGAGTCAAGTAAGAAAATGTATAGAGCGCCTGGCATATAGTGGTCATGAAATAAGTGTTTCTTCCCCTCTCCTCCCCACCCATCCCAACGGAACACTGAGTCAGCATTTTTACTACGTGGGACAGGAAAGGCTGGTGGATTTGAGGGATGTGAAGACAGCAGGGACATCGCATCCAACTGGGAGCTCCTTAAGGATTTGTGCATGGCCAAGGGCATGTCTTTGCACCCTCCGTGGTGCTTTGCACGGGTTGGCATTCGAGAACATAGAGATGGAATTGGGCAGAAATAAGTGGCGTGTTTTCCTGTCCAGAGGTTTATGAAAGCACTGGGAGACCAGACAGGTCTTCTTCCTAAGTCTTCAACACTCTGGCTGTGGCCTTGGGAGAATCTTCTCAGCTGTCTGGGGCTCAGGTCCATGTCTGTGAAACCAGGGGCATGGCAGGATGATCTCCAGATTCTTCTAGTGATGAGGTTCGAGAGCCCGGAAGGTTTGGGGTTGGTACGACAATATTGCAGCTGGTTTGCAAACAAGCCTCAGAGGTGAGAAACTCCTCTGTAGACTGACAAAAGAGTACAGAACTCAGGACTCTTCACTCACGGGGCTAAGGCTGTCCTTTTCCTGTTGTCCCACAGCTGTGACAGAAAACCATATCCCAGACTCAGAGGCTCTGCACCCAAAAGGTGATTCTCGTGAGACCCCGAGGATGGAAGGCTCTCGAGGCATCCAGATCCTCAGCCCTCACCAACATCTGCTAGACACTCAAAGGAAACAGTGGGTGACAAAAACAACGACTTTGACATTTGAGTCAGTCTTTGGTGCTTCTGATTTTCCCACAAACCCACCATGACATGTGTTTTTGCGATGAAACATTTCAAACATCAATAAGGGGCTCATAAAAGAGCCCACAAGACTCAGGCATTTCCACTCTTAAAAGATGCTGTTTACGGGTGTGGCCTACACCCTGTCGCATCTCCTCACCACCCTGGAGGCAGGGAGCTCCCCGTCCTGTGCATCTGGGGGTGCTGCTCTCGGGGCAGTCTGAAGCACTCTTGTTTCCCAATCATTTTCACATTGTACCCTTTTTGGGTTAGAATTTTGGCTCAAACACCAACAGACTTTGTGACCCTGGGCGAGTCGTTTCGCTTCCTTGAGTGTCAGCTGCCTCACTTATGTTCATCTCATCGATAGGTATTTATGGTGACTCTAATAGCAGGAACCATTCTAGATTTGGAATTCAGAGTCAGCTATTTCTCTAATGGGCAGAAATCCAGAAGACGTTCATACAATGTAGTAACCAGTTTATGACCTCAGCACTCTTTGCAGTGGTTCTAATGTATTATTATGCTCACATATGAGGGCTCAAAAAAAGATGACCAATCTGCTTATGCTACAAAGCTGTAGTAATCAAAACGCCATGGTACTAGTACATGATACTAGTACAAAAATAGACACGTAGATCAATAAAACAGAACAGGGAGTCCAGAAATAAACTCATACTTGTACAGTCAATCTCCAAAAAAGAAGGTGAGAATATAAGTAGGGAAAAGACAGTCTCTTCCGTAAATGGGAAAACTGGACAGCTACATGCAAAAGAATGAAACTGGTCCACCACTCTCTCATGCCATACACAAAAGTACACTCAAGATATCAGATACCTAACTGTGAATAAATAACCCAATTAAAAATGGGCAGAGGACCTGAATAGACCACTTTCCAAAGAAGAGCTACAGATGGCCAACAGTCAGATGAAAAGGTGTTCAGTATCACGAGTCATCAGGGAAATGCAAATCCGAGCCACAGTGGGAGATCTCCTCACACATCTGAATGGCTAGACTCAAAAAGACAAGAAGTAACCAGTGCTGCTGAGGGTATGGAGAAAAAGGAACCCTCGTGCACTGTTGATGGTGATGCAAACTGGTGCAGCCTCTGTGGAAAATAGTCCTGGACATCCCTCAAAAAATTAAAAATAGAAATACCATAGGATCCAGTAATCCCACTACTGGGTATTTACCCAAAGAAAATAAAAACACTAATTTGAAAAGATATATGCACCCCTGTGTGTGTGTGTATGTGTGTACATACATACATAGACACATACAGGCATAATGGAATATTACTCAGGCATGAAAAGGATGAGATCTTGCCATTTAAAACATGGATGAACCTAGGGGATGTGATCCTAACTAAAGTAAATTAGACAGAGAAAAGCAAGTACTATATGATTTCCCTTCCATGGGAAATTTAAAATACAAAACAAACAAACAAAGAGCAGGAAAAGACCCTAAATACAGGGACCCAACCAGTGCTGGTCCCAGAGGAGAGGGGATGGGTGGCGGGCACAGTGGACGAAGGGAAGTGGGAAGCACAGGTTTCCAGTTAGGGAATGAAGAGGTCACGGGAATGAAAGGTCAGCAGCCCAGGAAGCATCATCAAGGGTATTGTGATGGTGTTCGTGGTGACAGACGGTAGCTACACTTGTGGTGAGCACAGCATGACACGGAGAGGTGGAATCACTCTATTGCACCCCTGAGACCCAGGCAACTCTGGGTGTCAGCTGTACTTCAATAAAAACATCAAAATGGGAGCACCTGTGTGGCTCAGTCAGGTAAGCATCCAGCTCTTGATATTGGCTCAGGCCTTGATATCAGGGTTGTGAGTTCAAGCCCCACACTGGGCTCCACACTGGCTGTGGAGCCACTTAGAAAAGAATCAAATAAAAAATGTTCATTCTGCTGAGACGCCACCTAACTTTATCATGTCAGGGCCAGCCACCAGGGTTCTAACTCCAAGAAAAGTTGATAAGCCTCTTGAGAGAAACAGTGACTGCATGTGAAAGGTACCAAAACTTTTTTTTTTTTAAAGATTTTATTTATTTATTTGACAGGCAGAGATCACAAGTAGGCAGAGAGGCAGAGAGAGAGAGAGAGGAGGAAGCAGGCTCCCTGCTGAGCAGAGAGCCCCATGCGGGGCTCGATCCCAGGACCCTGGGATCATGACCTGAGCCGAAGGCAGAGGCTTAACCCACTGAGCCACCCAGGCGCCCCGGTGCCAAAACTTTTGAGTTGGGAGGACAGTCTCTCCCTGGCCCCTTGGGATGTGCTTTGGGTGGCAAGGAGGTCATCTGGAGGCAGGAAAGACCAACCTGGCACCCGACTGGACTATTAATGGGGCGGATGCCTTTGGGTGTAAGCCTGTGCCGTTCCTCCCAAATGTCTTCTGACTTGTCTGAGGGTTTAAGAGCTAAAATCTGAAAAGAAACTGAGAAAGTGATGGAGTTGTTATTTGAGGGTGCTATAAAACTACCATACGGGGAGTCTGGTAAGAATCATTTCAGGATTTATTGTCAGGCACCGTACTAGGCTGTGTGCACAAGAGAGTGCAGAAGACAGACGTGATTCTGTATCTATCTGTATCTGTCCATATCTATTTTTGAAAATGTGATAAGAACCACAAAAGGAAAAAACAAAACACAGTCTCATGAAAGAATAGTAACTGGGATGATCTCATTTAGATGGAGTGCCCCGTGAAAACCTCTTTGAGGAAGTGATGTTTGGTTTAGAACTGAAGGATTCTGGGAGCTGGCCTTGTAAAGGTAGGGCTGGGGCAAAGTGGGGCAAAGAACATTCTGGCCAATGGCAGCATCTCGTGCAAAGGCCCTGAGGTGGGCGAGAACTTGCCACATTTGGTGAGTGGAAAGGCCTGTGTGACGGCAGCATGGCGCGAGAGGAAGAGCAGAGAGTTGCTGAGTAAGGAAGAGCCCAGATAATGAGGGGTTTGGAAGTGACACCGAAGATTTCAGATTTTACTCTCAATGGCCTGGAAACGGATCGGTGGCAACTGAAGGAGTGCCAGGGCTGGGCTCAGAGAAAGGCGGGGAGGGCGCTGTCCTGCCGCGCCTCCCCCATCAGCACCTGCAGTGTCGTCCGATGGTGGCCGCTCAGCTCCATGAGTGAGGCTGTGGAGGGACCTTCATTCCCACCAGGGCCCTGTTTCTGACTCAGACTCTTCTGTGTTTGGCAATTAAGCCAACAAGGGTTTGTTGAGTTTTCACCCAGTGGTAGTGGACGAGGTAGACATGCGGTGCCACATGTAACTTGTTAATACTCAGCGTTATCCCTGCCTTTTTATCCTCTTCCCGGTCCCCAGGGAAGAGTTAGCTTCTGGTTCCCTCAGGCGCTACTCTGGGTGGCTCCAGGCCATGGTCCACTGAGGCCGCTCCCGTGCTAAAACACGGGAGGGACGGCAAGAAAGAGGAGCCCCTTCTCCTGCCTCTTCTGTTCTTTTAACCTCCATATGGCTAACATGCTAAGATGGGGAAAGATCGCAGGAATTCTTTTACTAAAGGGACCGGACAGTTTCTGAAGGGAATTACAATGGCAGAGGGACCCGCATTAAAGATAATTTGAATCTCATCTAATGAGGCCAGATACCTAAAAAAATTCTAACAGCTTGTACAAGGAGTGTTCTCTGATTTGGTCCTGCTCTTAAATTTGCTCCTAAGCCTCACCCACATCCCATTAAATCTCTAGGACCGGCAATCCCACCCCTTATCTGAAAGAAATCACCAGTTCTGAATCATTCTCCCCATCCATCCTCAAGGAACGCTGGTTTGGGAATCAGAGATGCCGCCAGCATAAGTAGAGGGATGAGGTGAGAAAGAGAGACATTCCTCATTTGGAGTTTTCTACACGTGGGAACTACCAGCCTGCTGGCCCTTTGATTTATTTATTCAGTGGGTTTTTTAAGGTTTATTTATTTGTAGTAATCTCTACACGCAACGTGGGGCTCAGACTCATGACCCGGAGATCAAGAGTCGCACGCTCTAATGACTGTGCCAGGCAGGTGGCCCTTCACTGCATCTTTCACGGCAAATACATGGGTTTCCTCACCCCCAGCCATCAGAGAGCTACGATCTTATTGGAAAAGGTTATTCCTGCTGATGAACAAGGTTCTGGTAATACCCCAAACTGTGACAAGTCCCTGTTATTGTCTCTCTCTTTTTTTTTTTAGATTTTATTTATTTATTTGACAGAGAGAGCATGGTAGACAGAGAGTCAAGCAGTGGGGGGGGAAGCAGTCTCCCTGCTGAGCAGAAAGCCCGATGCAGGACTCGATCCCAGGACCCTGAGATCATGACCTGAGCCGAAGACAGCAGCTTAACCCACTGAGCCACCCAGGCGTCCCCTGTTATTGTCTCTTACGGTGTTTATTTCTCCATGACTTAGCCAACATATGACATTCGGTGACATTATCGAAGAGGAATTACCGCTGTTTAAAGACTGCTCTCTGTCTCCGTTTCTGTTCAGAGTCTCTCCAGGATCTGAGGACACTGGATGGGTTGGGGGAGATATTTATGATTCTGATTCCTCCTATGGGATTATATCAAGAAACAGGGCAGGAGGAGATGTGAAAGTATAACATCATTCTTACTGAAGAATGCTCGAAGCTTCTGTGAGAGTTTGAGAGAGAAAAGCGGGGAGGATCTTAGCCTGAAACAGATGGGTCCATCAGTCCACTGGTGAAACCTCTGAGTTCCTAGTTGTTGGGCATTCCCTTGTCCTGTTTCCTGCCACCTGCCTCCCCTCTGCACCTTGATTTACCCTCTGTGGAAGGCCGACACGTAGGTCACGTCTACAGATGGTTTGCATGCGGGGAGATTTGCTACACTTACTACAACAGTGAGGGCAACGTTTGCTGAGAGCTTACTTTGATTCTAAGCACTATTTTAAGTGTATCAGGTGCTTTGACCAGTGCTCACAGTGCCTGTGGAATACGTTCTGTTCTGATTGGGTCCATTTTTATAGACAAGAACACTGTGGCTCCGAGGAGGGGCAGTGGCCTGTCTAGCTCACACAGCTTGTAAGTGGAAGAACTGGGATCTGCCCCGGGCAGTTTACCCCCAGAGCCACAAATCCCTAAGCATTGTGCAACGCTCTCTCTCCACCCATCCCCGATGTGGTGTGTTTTTTCACTCATCTGAATCTGCCACTGTCAGTAAAATTTTTCTAGTATAAAAAAGATGATCCTACACAATTTTTGTCAGAGTTGTCTCAGGGTACTTTCAAGGTTTTTTTGGTTTTGGTCCTTTTTTTTTTTTTTTTTGGTTGTCTGTATGGTAGAATTCTTAACTTATACATTCAGATGATTACTTCTGGACTTGAAACTTGCCATTTTTCACAAGTATGAGTAAACCCACGTGTGACTTCAAAAGCACATTAGCTCTGCCCACCTTGAAAAAAGAGTGAGACGCTCGTGCAGTTGTTCTGCTCCCAACTGTCACGCTATCTCCAGAGCGCAGAGTGGGATGTGGGCAGAAGTGTCTGGAGAGGAGGCAGTGCTGGCTGTTGGACTTTAACGGGAAGGAGCCCCGTGTGTCCCGCTAGGGAAGTTGGTTTCAAACCTTCCAGCACAAGGTGTTAGGCGAGAAGGCGAGATCTCTGAGTGTGTTTTTATCGGCATGGTTCTTGCGTCATTCTGCGGGGTGATTTGTGCTCGGGAAGGCTGGTGGGGGGGAGCAGTTGGGGTGTCACTGAACTACAGCAGGTGACAGCTAGTCGACGTCTGACCTAAGACAATAACAGGAAAAATAGAAATGGTGAGAGTGTGCTGATGTGAGAAACAGGCTTAGGGAAAATCAACCGGCTGGGTTCAGATGTTGCGGGAGAGAAAAACAGAGGACTTGAAGTCGTCACCGCAGACTGACGTCAAGTGAAACAGGTAGTATGGGAGGGGGCAGGTGGAAAGAGTGTGGCAGGGAACTAAATCTGGTGTTGCCTTGGCGGAGGTGGAGAGCCAGAATGGTAGGTGCAGAAATGCCCCAGCATGATGGAAAGGCTAATGAGATCTAACAGTGGAGTTCTCCGGTGAAATGGAAAAGCGGGTTTTATGAGCAGTTGGGGGTTTGTTTGGGAGCGTGTTTAGGACTGCAGCCAAGCATCTGGGAGTCACGGGCACATAAGTAGTACTCAAAGCCAGAGAAAAAGGTGAGGGCTGTCCAGATAGGGTTCCCATCTTTAGTAAAAGACAAATAGGACAATCAGTTAAATGTGAACGTTGGAAAAACGATAAATAACTTTTTAGTGTAGCCCATATAACGTTTAGGATATACTTATCCTAAAAATGATTTATAATTATTTTTTATCCTAAAAAGGATTCACATTTCTTTATGTGAAATTCAAATTTGGGCACCATGTATTACACATGACAACTGTATCACAGGCTGTAAACGAAGGCCTGTGGGGACTGATGGCCATTGCCCGGCCAGGGGTCAGGGGGCCAGTGATGCACAGGGAGCTTGGGTGGGCCAGCGAGAGACCTGCGGCAGCCCGGGGGACTGGGTTCGGCTGACCCCTGGGGTGTCCAGTATGCTAATGCTTCAAAACATACTAAAATACATACATATATATATATATATATATATGTATGTATTTTAGTGTAGACTATCCCAATTTTAAAAGGGACCACAGTGAAGAGAAAAAACATAGTGAGGTCTATGGGTTCCACAAGGTATTTCAGCCACTGGTTTGCAGACTCTGATCCAATCCCCAGAGAGGGGGTGGGGCAGATTTTACCCCACACGTTATAGTGCTTTGCTGTGTGAGGGTAAATAGTACTAAGGTGTGGGGAAAGGATGGCAGCAAGGGGTCGATTCCCTGAGCAAAAGGTAAGATGTGGGCAGGTCTCTGCTGTCTTCCACCCCACAGTCTCGCCCCCTGGGGCCTGGACAGCCCCCCTCCCGGCTGCTGGCAGGTGGACAGAGCCCACAGGCCTGCGCCCAGGCCACCAGCCCTCGCCGGGCCTGAGAAAGACCAGGCTCTCCTGTGGCAGGCGGCGGGGACTCTGCGTGGGGCCCTGCAGGCCTCACCAGAGAACTGTGGGCGGAAACTTCCCGAGGTTTGCTCTGCCTCTGGTTGAGGCTTCTCAGCTTCAGATGCAAAGTCAGTGGGTGTCTCTGAGAAAGACAGAGGAGGAAAGAGAGCGACAGAGAGGTGTTCCCCGGGGTTCTGGAAACTATAAAGAGCGAGGCGGCTCTCCTGCTCTCCAGCAGACAGACAGCCGCGCCGGCCCGGCCTGGACACCTGCGCTGGGGGCCAGCCCGACACACCGCCATGCAGCAGCCCCTGAATTACCCCCTGTACCCCCACATCTACTGGGTGGACGGCAGCGCCAGCTCCCCCTGGGCGCCTCCGGGCTCCGTCCTCCCGTGTCCGTCCTCTGTGCCTGGGAGGCCTGGGCCGAGGAGGCCGCCGCCACCACCGCCTCCGCCGCCACCATCGCCGCCCCTGCCTCCAGTGCCCCTGCCGCCTCTGAAGGCGCCGAGGGACCACAACACAGGCCTGTGTCTCCTTGTGATGTTTTTCATGGTGCTGGTGGCCCTGGTTGGCCTGGGGCTGGGGCTGTTTCAGCTCTTCCACCTGCAGAAGGAGCTGGCGGAGCTCAGAGAGGTAAGCCCTCGTGGGGATTGCTGTGCACTGGAGATGCGGTGTAAACGGCTCTGCTGCAGCCGAGGGGTAGGGGGGAATAGTGGGGGAGGGGGACACCGAGGCCCAGAGGGACCGTGGCCTTGCTTGCAAAGTCTTTTCTAGTCCTTTCTCTTCCTGTCTTTGAAATGGGTCATTCTAGTCGTTCTATCTCAGAGGCCGAGGCTCAAGTGAGTGAAAGGGATATTTGCTCTCTTGGAAAGGATCAGGGCCAAAATAGGACTGGTGGGGACTGTCCCTCCTTTCACCGCTGGCAAGGCTGCCGGCTGAACCTCTTAGAGGTTCGTGATTCAGGAAAGAAAAAGAATCTGGAGTCTTGCTCGGAAGTGAATTTGTTTAAATGACCCAACTAAATTTCCTTGGAAATACTTAAAAATGTTAGAACTATTCCAAATTGCAAAACCTGGGCGTGGTGAGACAGGATGGCATGGCCAGAGTCCGAGTTAGGAGAGGCTCTGAGGTATGGAGATGCCCTTCTCAGGTTTATTCTGTTTACTTGACGGCTTTGCCTCCGCTATCTTAAAGAACTTCACACTTACGATGCATCTTCCCTCTCTGTTGCCAGTCCACCAGCAAAAGTCATACTGCATCGTCTTTGGAGAAGCAAATAGGTGAGTCATTTTACGGATGTTTATTGAGTCTCTAAAGACAGTCCTCATTGCTGAACCACGTGGGGCAGATGCCTTGAATTCCATCCCACTCTCGGATACATTATACTACAAAAGGAATCCTGGCTAATTCAGAATCATTGCTCATTTTGGTTCCTTGAGCTGCCCTAACATATGAATTACATGTAATCATTCAAAATCAGTATAACTGAGTACTGCCCACCATTCAAGTAATTTCCATTCAGCTTTGGAAAGAGACAACACAGATACAGCTGGTTCCATTCCTGTCGCCTTCACAGGCCTCCTGGGTTTCTGTGAACAGGGCAGTGGCTGTGGCTCCCAGGGAGATGTAGAGAGGACCAGGCAGAGACAGATGTTTCCGGGAAAAGTCGTCTCCTCTTCAGACTCTCTAAGAGATAACTCAAGAGTCAAGCTTTATTTAAAGAAAAAAATTCTAGGATGTATTTAAGCTTTTAATTATTTATTTATTTAGAGGGGAGAGGCGGAGGGAGAAGGAGAGAGAGACTCTGCAGAGCACCGACACAGGGCTCCATCTCACGACCCTGAGTGAGATCATGACCGGAGCTGAAATGAAGAACCGGATGCTTAACTGACTGAGCCACCCAAGCACCTCTTAGGCGTTTAAAAAGTATGCAATTAACCATCCACATTAAAGTTGCTCTTTTGCATTCCCTGGCAGTCTTGAGGGGGAAACCTTAGCCATTTTTCAAGGGCTAGTCCAGCTTCTCCCACAAAGGCAATCATGAGGTACCTTCAATAAAAGAAAGGCCTCTGTTGAGATTCAGGACAAGGGAAAAGATGAAAATGTTGAACACTGACCTTGTGTGAAGTTTTAGGACATCGTTTGGAAACATGTGCAGGTAGATTAAGCATGCTCTGGTTTATTCAACTGAGATCGACCAAACTCTGGATTCGTAAGAGTTGGATGGGAGCTTGGAGCAAATCTGGTCCAGCCATCTCACTTTTCGGAAGAGAATTAGGAGATATGCCCCAAATCGCTGGTGTGGAACTGGGGCTAGGAGGAACACGGGCTTCTGGTGCTTTGTCGCCGGCAGGGCTTTCCAGCACATAGACTAGTGCTCTGTGAAATAGGGAAACTTCTGTCTGTGATGGCCATGGAGGGAGAAATAAAGATGAGAAGCAAGACGCCTCTGCAAAGACAATAGGTAAATCTTGGGAAGAAAATGGAAGGCAGCTCTGGCCATCCAAGGAGGGGAGCCCATTCCAGTTTCTCTTATGTGCCTATTGTAGGTGACCCAAGTCACCCTACTGCTCCAGAATGTGGGCTCTGGAGGACCCATCCTGTGGACACTTTGGTCTTTGGTTCTAGGTCTAAGTCCCTAAGTGTTAGAAAGTCCTGATGTATTCAAGCAGAGTAGAAATATTTGTTAGAAAAATAAAACCTTTGGAGGATTTCTAAAATAAAACAGCTTTGAAAATCAGTGGAATGTGGCTGGTGAAACAGGTGCCTAATTACTCATCTCTCTGCCACTCTCTGGGATAATTTTAGTGATTAAAAGTCAAGTGCACAGATGACCCAGGTCTGTCTCTTCCAGTAAAAAGCGTCTTGTCATCCACGCAGATGGACCAGAGGTTGGGCAATTTCCCCATGGAGAACAAAGTAGCCACTTTATTAATAGGAAAAGAGATGCAAATCAAACAAGGCTATATCCATTTTCATTCATCCCAGTAGTAAAGATTAAAAAAAAAACCAGATTGGCAAAAATGTGAGAAAAATTTTTGCTTAAGCATTAGTTGACAGCCAGGGAACATGTAAATTGCTATACTTGTTCTGAAGACCAGTTGGAAAATGTACCAAAGGATTAAAAATGTTAATTTACTGGGCACCTGAGTGGCTCAGTCAGTTAAGCTTCTGCCTTCGGCTCAGGTCATGATCCCAGGGTTCTGGGATCGAGCCCCGCATCAGGCTCCCCGCTCAGCCAAGAGCCTGGTTCTCCCTCTCCCTCTGCCTTCTACTCCCCCTGCTTGTGCTCACATGCTCTCCTCTCTCTCTGTCAAATAAATAAACAAAATCTTCTTTTTAAAAAAGTGTTAATTTACCATGTAATCTCATCACTAAGAATTTATCTTAATAAGATAGTCAGAGATATACCCCAAAACTCATAATTATGTTCATCATTACCTTATAAGCCTATTTGTAATAAATAAGTCAGAAGAAACTTAAATGCCTCTTAATAGGAAATTAAATACGTTATGGTATATTCAGAGGGCCTCCTACGCAGCGACTGAAATCCATATAATTACATTTAAGGCCTTGGAGATTGTGCACTCTATATTGTTAAATAAAAAAGACAAGTTATAAAACTATTTAAATTTTAATTAAATAGTTTAAATCAACTATATAAGTGCATGTGTATATTTTTATATTCTTAGTAAAGAATTAGAAGTACTTGTACTTCAACAAATTAACAGTGATTTTCTCTGGGATGTACTATCCAAGATTATTTAAACATACTTATTTGCTCTTTTTTCATTTTCCATTTTTCCACAGTTCACTCATTTAAGTCTTTTATTCATTCACAAATGTTCTTGGAGAGCTTCTTATGTCCCAGGCGGGTGCTGGGTGTAGGTGATGACTAAGAACAAGAGAGACAAGGGTCCTACCCCAAGGGAGCTTTCAGAGCGCAGTAAAGGGGTAAACAAAAGTGAGCAAGCAGACTATAATTTCAGACTGTACTAAGTGCGATGTAACATAGAGTGGTCTGGAAAGTCCCCTTTAAGGAGGTGTTGTGTGTGCGTGCATGTATGTGGGGTGGTGTGGGAGGATAGGGGAGAACATTCCAGCAGTGAGAATGGCATGTGCAAAGGCCCCAGGGGTAGGAAACATTCATCACCTACGTGTAGGATCTATTTCCAGTTTATTTCAGCATTTCTCCAGCAGGTATTCTTACTAAGGACCCTCTATGAGAATCACACTGTGCAAGGCTCTGAGGGATAGAAAGATATGCAACCTGTGGTTCTCTGTTCCATTTCCTGTCAGTACATGGCTGAATGCCAAACCAGTTGCACAGATGGTTTGTGGTATAGGAATGTAGAGGAGACTCAGTTTTGCCTTTCCTGCTCGCTAACACCTCCTTCATGGTGGGTGGTCTTGGGTGGATAGAGAAGACGTGATTACTCAGGTCATGTTCTCAGCTGCTAGTGGCAATCTCACGCCACAGGTGAGTTTTACAGGCTAATTGTAATGAACCTGATGTGGATGAGGGCCCTTCTGTGAATCTTTCTTAAATGTGTTAGCTGAATTCGTTAGCTAAGTGGTGGCTCTCTTCGGTTAAAATATTTGAAGTCAGAGAAATAATGACTACTTTGGGAGCTATTGTCTATTCTACTTCCTCCAATTTAATTTAACAAATATTTGCTGGTTGCATGCTCACTCTGGTGGATTTAACATATAGTAGGAAGTTTGCCATTTATTTGGTGGGAGTAAGACAAGTCATGCAGTTATCACAGAAATGGAGAGTCAGAACTGACAAAAGAGGTAAAGACAAAGTGACTCTAGGCTTCAAAGGAGGGAAAGACCATATTCGATTAAAATGGCCTGGGAGGGTTTCCCCCAAGAAATAGGTACTGCGGGCGGTACTTACGGGGTTGATAGGAATTTGCCATGAAGATCTCTTTGGAGGGAGTTCTGAGCAGATGAACAGCATGAGCAAAGGCACGAGGGCTGGTAGCTGGGTGGGTTCAGATCACATCAGCCCCTGTGTTGTGCCACCTTGGCCGATCTGAGCAAGCAGAGGAGGGGAGGCTGGACAGATAGGCAGAGATCATGTGGCTGGGGATGTGTTATATGTGCAATGGGGAGTTAGTCAAGGCATCTGAGACCTGAGGGTGATTAATATGGGCAGATGGTTGAATGCCACTGAGGGGAAGACCTAGTGGCCAGGCGGTAAAATCAAAGTCTTCTTTGGCCTCTGTTCTACAGAGTCCTAGAGGCAGCAGAACTGGAAAAAGTCCCCATCGGAAGCCAGGAGACTTGAGCGTCCATCCTATTCTGACCTTGTGTAGCTGGGTCTTCTTGGACAGATCATCCAACTTAGCTCATATAGCCATCAGACAATAATCCCTACCTCAAAGGATTGTGGCAAGATCAAATGCAGTAACTGATATGATAGCTCTTTTTCAATCAACCTTTTTATTGTTTTTTCATGACATAGTCTGTGCATATGTCTGTCTCAATTTGGTTTACATTTTACCTCTGTTTCTGAAGTACTGATGGCTGCAAGTTCTACGGTTTGCACTTGGATGATTAGTGTATGTTAGACTGTTCACCGTTTGTGTTTTAAAAAATTGTTTTTATTTAAATGACCAGTTTGGAGTCCCAACAAAAGAATAACTGGTATCTCATTTATATATATATCTCTTTCATCTCTCCATGATGCAGGTCAACCCAATCTGCCCTCTGAAAAAAGGGAGCTGAGAAAAGTGGCCCATCTAACAGGTCTGTATCTGGGAGGTACATGGGTCTTGGGAAAGCCTTTGACAGGAAAAGCCTTTGACAGGTTGGGTACTGTGCTCGGAGGGCGTTGCTACTTTCTGGTGATAGTATTTGACACCCAAGAATAGTCCCATCTTAATAGTCAAGTCAACCTCGCACCCAGACTGCACCCCTACTCTAGTCTAGGCCATGTTCTGAACTGGCAAAATGGAGCGGAGTATGAGAGGACCCCTGCCCATGAGGAGCTCACTCTTTTAAGTCATTCCAAAGACCCCTAGGGGATTTGGGGCATGGGTTCAAGAGGTGAGATCTAGGGAGGTGGGGAGTGATCAATTATTTTAGTCAGTGCTTTTCTGGTTTTCTGGAAGAGCTTTACTGTGCTTTGTGCAAGAGTAGAAGTAGGAGTGAGAGGAAGGGCCCAGTCCTGGCCCTGGTGGACTTCCTGCATGTGGCCAGGTAGTGAAGTAAAGTCATTTGAGAACAATGTGGTGTGGGCATTTCCAGGGCACAGTCCATAAATATCTGAGAAGCGGATAAGTATCATAGAAAGGGTATGCCACTGCCCTGGAATTATTTAGGCAGAAGCTGTAGAATGATCCCGTCTCGATCACCAGATATTTATTGAACACATGTGTGCCGAGCTCTGGAGACAAGTAGATTAATAATGTGATTCCTGTCTTCGAGGAACTTAAAATCTAACAGGGAAATACAGGTGCATAAATTTTCAATTATATTTTCAATTTTCACATTGAAAAGGACACCTGTGATCATTTTGGTACTACAGAGTGTTCTCTGCTTAAGGTATGATTATACTGCTATGGAGACATAAAAGAAAGGGGATTTTAGCCCAAAGTGGAGGTACTGAAGACTTCTTAGTATAGGTAAGGAGTTGGACCAGATGATCCCTAAGGGTTCCTCCCAACTTTATAATTTCCTTGGCTTTGGCTTTTTTCCACCTAGAGAGACCTCAAAACCTAGAAATTTTGGTATTAGTTCTGGAGATCATACAGTCTGTGTTCCAGAGAACTAAACTAATTTCATTAATGTCTCCTTATAATTGATTAGTATATATATTATTGTCCCAGTTGTGTAGATGACGAAATTAGGGCAAGCAATTCGATAGCGGTGTCGCAGGAATTCAGTGATGGATCGAGTCTGACCCATTAGCCAGTTCCATATGGGCTGTGCCATTTTGGTCCTTTGATCAAGGAACGGCCCACAGTTTCACCTTGGAAGCTTCGTTTGTTGGGTGCATGAGCAGTCCTGGCTGAAAGCTCCTCTCTGATTTGATTTCAGGCAAGCCCAACTCAAGATCCATCCCTCTGGAATGGGAAGACACATATGGAATTGCCCTTGTCTCTGGGGTGAAGTATAAGAAGGGTGGCCTTGTGATCAATGATACTGGGCTCTACTTTGTGTATTCCAAAGTGTACTTCAGGGGTCAGTCCTGCAATAACCGGCCCCTGAATCACAAGGTCTATTTGAGGAACTCTAAGTATCCCCAGGATCTAGTGCTGATGGAGGGGAAGTTAATGAACTACTGCACTACTGGCCAGATGTGGGCCCGCAGCAGCTACCTGGGGGCAGTATTCAATCTCACCAGTACTGACCATTTATATGTCAATGTGTCTGAACTATCTCTGGTCAGTTTTGAGGAATCTAAGACCTTTTTTGGCTTATATAAGCTCTAAGAAAAGCACTTTGGGATTCTCTCCACATGGTTCCTTATTACAGGCCCTGAAAATATGGTCTTGAATGACAGTCTTCTTAAGCCCACTTGAGATCAAGTGAGAAGACATGAACCAAGAGTATCTAGAGACCACAGGGTCCAGCAGATCTACCGTTCCTCATCTCATGAGCCAGACGGGAGGGGGAATACGACTGAAGAACATGAGACTTGGGGCTGCCGTGTGAAATGCAGAGGCAGGAAGAAGCAGCCACCAGGGTGTTCTACACTCATTTTAAGTGTCCACAAGCATTTTAGCACATTGAAAAGGACACCTGTTAACTCACCTCTTGGAGTGGGTCTACTATCTACCTCGGGGTGGCTGTCTTTCAGATATGGATGTGACATGAGTGTACAAGGGACGGAAAAAGAGGACTAGGCTTGTGTGATAAGCTAAAGAAACCGAAAGGCCAGTGTCCCATTGGAAGCATGTTAACTTCTGAAGGCAGAACCTGAGCCACCAGGTGACGCTAACAGAGAAGCAAGGGGGATCTTTGGGGAAGTTGCTCCATTCCTCACGCAGCATGTATATTTCCAGTGCAATTTTAGGGGTGTGTGTGTGTGTGTGTGTGTGTGTGTGTGCACTCACATGTATGTGACTAGAAGAGTTACATAAGAAGAGACGATGTGGAACTTGTGAAGGATATGTTAGGAAAACATGGGTTGCATTTAATGGTAGATTTTGAATACCTCTTGGCAACCAACTCAGTTGTCCTTAAAATAGTCCTCAAGACTCTTTGATTGTCACCTGTTGATGCTGTTCTCCTATAATATAACCAGTATTTATACCTTTTGTGTATTTTAATAAAAAGAATAAGTGTAATAAAAATTATATTTTAGAATACAGGCCAACATTATGAATATACTTATTTGGAAATCACTAAAATTTGTTTTTTCCCCCTTATAATTTCTTTCCTCCACGGCTTCTTCACTCCTTTTGCCTTGAGGCCACGTTAAGAAGGACTCACTGGAATGAGCACCGTGAAGCAAATCCATCATTGCCAGATACCCCTCTCCCCAGTCTGTTTCCATTATTCAGAGTTTTTATTGTCTATATTATTGCCAATGTTAAGCTCACCCAACTTTCAACAGATTTGATGACAACTTCCCCCAGGCTTCCCCAGGAGCAGAGCCATAGCATAGTGGAAAGGGCACAGACTTTGGGCTGAAAAACGTGAACTTGAATCTTTGTTCGTCTACTTTCTAAATGCAATCATGGGGTGAGTCCCTTGACTTCTCTTGGACAAAAATGACTGATATGTATATTAAATATCTGGTCATGGCATCTATCAGTTTAATCAGCCACTCGGTGAAAGGTACTTCTAGCTCCAGAAAAAGCCACTGACCGGAGGCCTCCATCCAAGCACCCAGTTTCTCAGGTTCTCCCGGTCTTCCGTCACAATGACCTTTTCCTAATTTTTCAACCACTCTCTAACACCCCCTCCCCCTAGACTTTGTCTTTGTTAAAAATTATGGTATTTCCTTTACAATTTGATTTCAGACGTCTTATTTTCCTATGATCTCCTATAATTCCAGCTTAATTGCTCCAACATTTGTCTCCAAAAATGTGTCTATTTTTACCACATGAGACCTCTGATAAACTTGATCATTTCCTTACATATCCATCAGTGCCTTCTTTATCTTCATTCCTCTCTCTGACAAGCTTTGCATTGTCACTACCCTCTGTCCTTATAATCAGTATCTTGGAAAATTTCTCAATTCCAAAATATTCTGCATCCTTCCCTGTATTCCCCTTGTAAAAATCCCATTTTGTTTGAGCTGGCATCCTACAAGCTGGATGTTGCTAGAGAAAAATAATCCAGACAGACAGGCTGGTTTCTGTTTACTTTTAGCTGTCATCTACTTAAATCAGCTACTCTTAATCCCTGATTTATTTCTATCTTTTGACTGATTTGAGTAAGTAATACCTGTACATAGTACAAATTTTAAAAGGCCTAAAAAGACATAGGATGACAGTAAGTCCTGTTTTCAATCTGTCCCATGACCCTATTCCTGTCCACAGAGACTATCACGGTATCCTTATGCAGCTTTCCAGAGATGGTCTGTGTCTATGACGTCAGTTTACATCTGGGTTTCCCAGCCTTGGTTCCATTGACATTCTGAGCTGGATAACTCTTTGTTGCGGGGTCTGTCCCATGCACTGTTGTATGCTTAGCAGTATCTCTGCCTTCTATCCCCTAGATGCTAGCAGCACTGTCCCCTCCTCCGTGTGTGATAACCAAGAATATCGCTAGGCATTGGCAGATGTGCCCAGGCTGGGGATGGGGAGACAAAAATCAGCCCTACTGGAGAAACACTGCTTTACATTAGTGATCACAGATCTCAAATGGGCATTCAACACTGCCTACCACTTTTTCCTCAGTTCCCTGCCAACCAGGTTTTTCCACTGTTTGAGACAGTTATGTCATACCTTTTCCTTTTGCAAACCCACCATATCCCCTCCTCCCACTATGGAACCTCACTTAACACTATCAAAACACAAATCTACCCACATCTGCACGATCTCTTTCTTTTATCCTTACAGCGGAAGAGGAGGATCATCTCTTCATTTGTGCATTAGATCCATTTCTAATCCCTACGTGCCCTCATTAAAATTGTCTCTTCCGGGGGTACCTGAGTGGCTCAGTGGGTTAAAGCCTCTGCCTTCAGCTCAGGTCATGATCTCAGAGTCCTGGGATCAAGCCCCGCATCCGGCTCTCTGCTCAGCAGGGAGCCTGCCCCCCCCCGCCCCCGCCTGCCTCTCTGCCTACTTGTGATCTCTCTCTCTGTCAAATAAATAAATAAAATCTTAAAAAAAATTGTCTCTTCCGGATCCTCAAACAATCTCTATGAAATGATTTCCACCAGTATGTACATATGTTCAAATATCCTTTTTCAGTAAAAGACAACCCAGCCCAAACCAAAAAAATCCCAAACCTTTCTTTAACTTTCCTCTTTTCCAGTGATGGCTGCATTTCTCATTTTCCTGGTCGAGATGAACATCTGAGAAGGTTGTCTCCACACGGGCTCCATTTCCTCAGCTACGAATGTCTTCTTCAGGGTCCTCACATGGCTGGCTTCTTATCTTTCAGGACTTAGTTCGAAGTCACCACCTCAGATCGTTCTTAGAGCCTCCTCTCTTTGTCATTATTTTATTTCCTTTTAGTTCCTTTTTAGTAACTAGCATAGCGTGTGGTTATATTATTTATTTGCCCACTTAAAAATATCTGTTTTTCTACTAAAATAAAACAAGACCTTTTCTACTTTGTCTACCACTATATCTTCTTCACCAAATCCAGTGGTTGGCATATATTAGGAGCTCAAAAAGTATCTGTTTACTGGATAACCTTAATTATAAAACAGACGTTTCTCAGTTTGGGGTATGTGTGTATGTTTCTTGGAATGGTGAATATATTCACTTCTAGTCGTAGGGTTGCCTCATGAGTGTATGTGAGTGGTTTTTGTTTTTTGTTTTTTGTTTTTTTTTGCTTTCAGTAGATTATTTAATGGGAATTTGAGGCTACAGGTGGAAAAAAAAAAACAGTGCATCCTAATTCTTAGCACTGGAAAATAAGAAAAGTCTATTTGGTGTCTGGCATTACCAGGAGTTATTCAGGATACTGTTGAGGGAAACTTCTAGGTAACTAGAGCTGAACATGTCACTCAGAAGATACTCAATAAATATTTGTTGAATAAATTAATTAACAAAACCAAAGGTCCCGGCTGGAGAGTATCACCTGCTCTCCTTAAAACTCTTCTGTTGATTCATCTGTTTCCTGACCAGGTACCTCATGAAGAAAGCCAGGGAGGTATCACTCTTCTTTTGGCTGCTTCTCTGTATTCCTAGCCATCACAACGAAACTCCTCTTCATCCCTTTTCTCCTCTTTTGGCTCCAACCATCAGGTATACCCATTCTAAGGGTAACGGGAAGTTTTCCAGTCTTCTAAAATCAATGGATCCTTCAAGATAATGACATCAAAGCAAAGAGAAAGTAAGAATGGCATTGGGGCTTCCCGAGATGAGATAAGGCAATCAGCTAGCAGTGGCATTACTGACATTTTTATCTTTCTAAGACTGAACTCTACTAGGATGCCTTTGGGATTTTTTGAAAATAGGGCCATAACTTACTGCAGGAAAGAGATGTTAACCATTCCTTCAGGAACCTTGAGTTATTTTTCTTTACCTCAGTAGGAACATAAAGTATGCCAAAAAATTAAAACTTTTTATTATGTTCAGATAACCACTGTATAGTACATAATTGGTCCTGATGCACCGTTCTGTGATTTACTAGTTATGTATAACACCCAGTGCTTGTCACAGCACGTGCTGTCCTCAATACCCATCTTTTTTGATGAACTCATCAAAAATGGTGTCTGCCGTTGTTACTTTTGAGATGCTAAACCCAAATTAGAACACTTAAAAAAAGAAGAAGAAGAGGGAGAGGATTACTTCTGATTCAGTAGTTTGAGGTTTTCTTTCTTTCCAAACAACCAAAAACACACAAAACCCATGTTTTTCTTTAGCACCCCCAAGGTGGTGACCTTGTATTCTCTGAAGTCGGTTTGACTTACCACAGCTTACTAGGAAATGAGCTCTACAGGGGACCATCGTTATGAGTGTGACTTATTGGAACCAACAGATCACTGGAAGATGGGAATTGGAGAGAGAAGCCTTACTTAGAGCTCTGAGACAAACTGTAAGATTTCCTTAGGGTTAAGCCATAGACAATTCCTTGTCTTTATCTAAAAAGCATGCCATCTCTATGTTAAATTATATTTTTCAAAGGGGCCTGCTTAAGTTCTGGTATTAGTAGAGACAGATTTTTACTTTCTGTAAAAATTTCTGTATTTTCTTATTTGTGTTTTTCCTTTGGATCATCCAGAGGTGGGATGAGGTGTCCCTGGGACATTAGAATCAGAACCCCATTTTTTAGGGTCTTTAGACTCAGAAACAAACCTTATTCAGAAATATCATAACTGTAGATGGTAACCAGGAAACTCTGGGATTCACCGAAAAGCCAACATGCCTTGGAAATACAGAAAGATAAGTGGATATTCTGCTCCTTACAGTTCACCTGGAACAGGGGAATCCATTGCCTCAGTGATGACTTTCTCACTATTGCCAAACCTTCATCCTCGTTGGGAGACATTTCTCCACAGTTTGAGCTGTACATCTTCAGGGAGAAGCACAAGGCAGATATCCCTTTTATGCCACTTGGAAGCTCCTTTGGCTCTACGGAGTCACCTTTTCTTATGCTTCTCAGTTGAATAACACAAACCCAATATCACATTCTGTGGAGAGTCAAGTCTTCTCTTCGGTTTCCTGAAAATTTCAGGAAGTCTCTTCATTCTCTTGGGCGCCCACATTAGAACAGGCCTCTTAGAAATAATACAAAGCAACCTCTCTTTTAAGACAGAAGTTTTCATTACCACATTTCCAACAGGTGGAACTCCATTTCCAACACATCCTTGATCTGAAAACTTTCTGGATAGGGGCTCAATGAACTGCGATGAAGCCCATATTAGCCCTGTACTGTGTTTCATCTTAGAAAATTCTTTCTCAGATTTGATTGAAATCCTCCACACTGTAACTTCCACGTGTGGAATATAGTTCTTTTCTGCTTAATATTGCTGCAGTATTTTATAGGTTGTAAATCCTTCTCATACACCTTATCTTGTTTAATTTCCATTACACCCTCAGAAGATAGATTGTTGTCTTCATAACATAAAAACAGCTGAGACACTGAAAACTTGTGAGTCTTGCTTAAAGAGACATGGCTAATAAGTGGCAGAGCTGGGACTAAACCCTAGTCATCTAACTAGGCATCTTCTGTTCTATCCATGTG